TACATCAATAGATTTTCTGATGTTGAACTTCTTTGTTTTCCCAGACCAACCAACCTCTCCTTTATCATGGTATATTATCATTGTAAGACACTGTTGGGGGGCCGGCCCGTGGCTCACTCGGGAGAGTGTGGTGCTGATGACACCAAGGCCACAGGTTCGGATCCCATACAGGGATGGCTGGTTAGCTCACTGGCTGAGCGTGGTGCTGACAACACCAAGTCAAGGGTTAAGATCCCCTTACCGGTCATCTTTAAAAAAAAAAAAAAGACACTGTTGGATTCAGTTAGCTAATATTTTTATAAGATTTTCTCAGATATGTCTATAAGTGAAATGGCCTTAATATTTCTTTTCTTGGCACTTTTGGAATCAAGGTTAAATTGACTTCATAAAATGAGATAGGCAGTTTTCCATCGTTTTTATTTTTAGAACAACTTGCCTAAGACATGAATTATTTGTTCCTTAAAAGTTTGGTAAAATTCATCTATAAATTCTTTTTGGGCCTAGAGCCTGTTTGGTGGACAGGGGGAGGGTAGTAGGAAGAGATATTTGATGGATTCCCATTTCTATTCAAATGTTCTTTCTTTTTTCACTAATTGTGACATCTTATATTTTTCTAGAAATTTTATCTAGATTATCAAATATATCATCATACAGTTATTTATAATATTATTTTCTAAATCTCTGTTCTTTTGCATTCTCTCTCTTTCTCTCTCCCTTTCTCTGTTTCTCTCTCCCGATTCTGTGAGTAGCCCTATCAAAGTTTTATCAATTTTATTATCCTTTTCAAAAACTTGCATTTGATTTTGTTTATCTTCTTGTTTTTTGTTCTATATTTCATAAGTGTGTGCCCTTACCTTTATTGTTTCCTTCCTTAATTTCCCTTTTCCATGAACATTTGCTTTATACAGTCACATTTTAAAGACTAATAGTGACACAGTGTCTCCTTTCTTACTTAGTGGTAATTGGCTCCCATATTAATGAGATCTGAAGACAATTCTGAGAATTGGTCAAGTTCATTCGTTGTTTGTTTGTTTGTTTAAGGTGGAAAAGGTTTTCACATCATGATCTTAGCATATATTTACAAACCTTTGAACTTGGAGCCAGGGACAGTGCTGAGAACTTCATATGTATCATCTCAATTAAGCCTCACCATATTCCTGTGTTAGATACTATGGTTACACCCATTTTACAGAACAGGAAGCTGAAGCTTAGCAGGATTATGTACCTTGCTCTGGGTCACAAGTCTAGTAAGTGACAAAGCTGGGATTTGAACCCAGGAAGTCTGATTCAAAAGTCTACACTAGTAACTAGGATATACCACTTTCTTAGAAAAGGTGTTTGTTTCTTTCTTTTAAAGCCAGATATAAGTACAGTTTTAAAGATAACATAGTTGTTATTGTTATTTTAATTCCAGGCAAATACTACATAGCCACGATGGCCTTGATCACAGCTTCCACTGCCTTGACCATTATGGTGATGAATATCCACTTCTGTGGGGCCGAGGCCCGGCCAGTGCCCCACTGGGCCAGGGTGGTCATCCTGAAATACATGTCCAGGATCTTGTTTGTCTATGATGTGGGTGAGAGCTGCCTCAGCCTGCACCATGACAGGGAGCAGGACTACTTCATGAAGGTTAATGGCAAACTCCCAGAGTCTAACCTGAAAGCAACCAGAAACAAAGACCTTTCCAGAAAGAGAGAAATGAACAAACTCTTAAAGAATGACCTGGGGTGCCAGGGTGAGAACCCACAGGTTGCTGATAGTTACTGTGCACGGTTCAGAATGCTGACAGAGAATATTGAATACATTGCCAAGTGCCTCAAAGACCACACAGCCACCAATTCCAAGGGGAGTGAATGGAAGAAGGTTGCAAAAGTCATAGACCGATTCTTCATGTGGATTTTTTTCATCATGGTGTTTGTCATGACCGTTTTGATCACAGCAAGGGCAGATTAGTAGGCATTTGATATCTGGAGAGAAATTAATAGAATTCCCTGTGATCTACTCCAATGTTCTTCCAAGTCAGATTTTTGTTCATGTGTAATTTAGGGGTTATGTTGTCTGTGCTTTTTATTTTTAACTTCAAATCAATATTGTACCTGTCAGGTTAAGTTAAGCAGGAGATCCAAAATTTCAAGGGTAGGAAGATCAAGGATATTGGGAAGGATCCTTTTTATAGCCTACCAGAGTGGTGGGTGGCTGGCCTCTAGTTTATACAATTATTCACCTCTTTAGCAGTGCAGATAACAAAGTACAGCACATTACTGTTTAAAATTTAAAACAAAAAAGGTAAAACAAAACAAACTCATTTTCCTCTTAGTCCCTATTTAAACATGCTTTTGAAAAAGGATATTAGTTGTGTATACCTTAGTGTGATTTAAGTCTCAATAGTACCTCTTTCAGGCATGGTGCATTTCAATGCCAAATCTCAAATTGCTGGAATAAAAGGTTTTATCCTACTAAAGTCTATTTAGCACCACATGTTCTCACTTATTTGTGGGACCTAAAAATAAATAAGTAAATACACAAAGGGAGGGTGGGGGCGGGGAAGAAGACACAACAATCACAATTCCTTGAACTTGTTAAGACAAGTGAACAGATATGATGTTGATGGGTGGGAGGGACGAGAGAGAGGGGGGAGGGAGGAATCAGTAAAGGGACATGATAATCAATTACACTGTATATTGATAAAATAAAAAAAAAGAAAGTCTATTTAGCAATTTAATGGGAAAGAGAGCTTTCTTCATAAAGATGGTGTTGTATATTTTCATTATGTTTTATATAAACTCTAAAGATAAGGTCATTCCTGCATTGAGTCTTTGATTAAAATATGGTAATCAGCAAGGTGGGCTCATTCATTCATTCACTTATCTGTTCACCAAACATTTACTAAGTTTCTCCTACATGTAGTAAAGCACCACGATTCACATTTGCCTTGGGTGTCATAGCAAACTGTACGCACAAGCTTGATCACTTCTGATCTTCACAGTTCTATGAGCTAGGCAGGCAGGTGTTGCTGCTCCCCTTTCTCAGAGGAAGAAACTGTGGTGTAGGAAAGTGTAAGGGACCTGCCTCCTCAGCATCTAACTAGGTAGTAAGTGGATTCAACCCTCAGCACTGTGACTCTGAGTTGGGCCAGGTCTGCTAAAGCCACACTGCTTTTGGCCATGACAAATTACGATTTAGGATAGGAGAGACTGAGGGATTCTCGTTCTTAATTCTCAACTTTCTGCCTTAATTTACTTCTACTATGTCTCAACTTCTTTTCTACTTTCAATTAAGTGTGCCCTCTAAAAGAAAAGAAAAGAAAAAATGTGCCTTCAAATGCCCCCCAATTTCCACCTTGATTAAAATGATCTAAGTGCTGATACCCATTCCTTAACTTCTAACTCCTCAACAATTCTTTTTCCAGTTAAAAACGAACAATCAAATAAAGGAACAGAGGTGGACAGAAGACAGGGGATTAACAAGGAGAGGAGAGTATTTGGTTTAAATATATAGACATTGTTTTTTTATTCTTGTGTTTACTCATTCAAAAAACATTTATTGAGGGCCAGTCCATGGCTCACTTGGGAGAGTGTGGTGCTGGCAACACCAAGGCCACGGGTTCGGATCCCTATATAGGGATGGCTGGTTAGCTCACTGGCTGAGTGTGGTGCAGACAACACCAAGCCAAGGGTTAAGATCCCCTTACTGGTCATCTTTAAAAAAAGAAAACAAAAAACCATTTATTGTGCAGCTACTATATATTTAGTGCTATCTCAACCTTGGAGGGAAAAATACAAAACCTAGTTTCTACCCTCCAGGTGCTCACAGTTTAGTGCAGGAGACAGTCAAGAAAATAGGCGAATACAACATAGTGTAAAAAGTGCGATCACAGAGTCATGGACAAAATGCCATGGGAACGATACTGATGAATCTGTTTGAGGGAAAGCTTAGGAAAGACTTTGTAGGGGTGTAACATTTGAGCTGAGGTGTGAAGGGTGAGTAGGAATTTGCTAGACAGAGAAAGAAGTGGGGTAGGGATTAGAAGGCATTAGGGAAAAGAAAAGAATGTGAGCAGAGCTTAGAAGATCTTGGTCTAGTCATGGATTGGACCGACAAGGAATCAGAGAAGTGTAACTCAGAATCTGATAACTTTTCTTCCTTAATTTTATTTTAATTATAGAAGTAATTTTATCAGTTAGAATTGCATTTGGCCTGAAATAACAGAAAACCCAATGGATCATGACTTAATCAGATAGAGGTTACTTACCTTACACAAAAATAAATCCAGAGCTACAAAGTCCCGGGATCTTTCCATCTTTTCTCTCCTCCATTCTTGGAGTGTAGTCCAACTGCCTTGGGCTTGGTGCCTCATGGTAACAGAAAGGCTGTTGCACCTGTAGCCTTTGCATCCACATTCCAAATGAGAGGAGAAAGGGACAAAAGGCAAAAGGGACATAAGAGTCAAACCTCTCTCATTTAAAAAGATTTCTAGAAGCACATTGATGACTTTCTCTTACAACTCATTAGCTAGAAATAAATCACATAGCCACTCTTACTGCAAGAGAGTCTTGGAAGGTGAATATTTTTACCTTCCAAAGAAAATCAGTGTTATCTTTGTAAAGAGGAAGGGAAGACTAGTTATTGGGTAGGCAAGTAGCAGTTTCTGCCTCAGTGATGTAACAACACCACAGGGAAAGCAGGATGTAGAAGACATTACCTAACCTCCACCATCGTAGCAACAACAATGATCAATTTACTATTATTTTCTTTCAGTTTTATTTCTGTGTCTAGTTTCTTTTATATAATCATAATCATTATGTTTTTACTATGCTGTAAGTGCTGTTTATGTATTTGTAGGTGGCTACATACTCTTGAGAGTGGCTTTCCCATAATTGACTCAATCATTTCCTTCTTCTTGGACACATACTTTACTTCAATTTTTATAGAACCTGTGGTAGGCAGAATAATGGTTTCCCAAAGATGTTCATGCCCTAAACTTCAGAACCTGTGAGTGTGTTAAATTACCTGGCAATGAGGAATTAAGGCTGCTAATCAACTGGCCTTGAGATGGGAGATGACTTTGGATTATCCAGGTGGGTCCAGTGTAATCATAAAGATCCTTCTAGGTGGAAGAGGGAGGCAGAACTGAGAGAACCAAGAGAAAACCAAAGAGATGGCATCATGAGAAACGCTCAGCCAATGTTGCTGGCTTTGAAAATGAGGAAGAAGTCATGAGCCCACAATGTGAGCAGCCTCCAGAAGCTGGAAAAAGCAAAGAAACAGATTTTTCCCTAAAGTCTCCAGAAGGAAAGCAGTTCTGCTGAAACCTTGATTTTAGCCCAATGAGACACTTTCCAGACTTTTTCTTTTTTTTTTTTCTTTCAAAAGATGACCGGTAAGGGGATCTTAACCCTTGGCTTGGTGTTGTCTGCACCACGCTCAGCCAGTGAGCTAACCGGCCATCCCTATATGGGATCCGAACCCATGGCCTTGGTGTTATCAGCACCGCACTCTCCCGAGTGAGCCACGGGCTGGCCCCTTTCCAGACTTCTGATCCTCCAGAACTCTAAGAGAATGTGTGCTGTTTTAAGGCATTAAATTTGTGGTAATTTGTTACAGCAGCAATATAAAACTAATACAGCACCCAGCTAGCATTATCATGTTGAAAAGGTCCTGTTGAGCTATGCTGAAAAATTTGAACTTTATCTGAGAAACACTGGGGAACCACAAAAGGGTTTTTTTTTTTTTTTTCTTTTTGTCTTTTTTTCATGTCCGGCAACGGATCGCAACCCTCAGTGTCACGCCCGTACTGGACCGGGACCGGCAACGGGATCGCAACCCTTGGTGCTGCACCCGCACCTCGCTCAGCCAGTGAGTGGGAACCGGTCTGTATGTGGGATCCGAACCCTCGGCGGGAGCGCCGCCACGTTCCTGGCCCCACAAAAGGGTTCTAAGCAAGGGAGTGATAGTGTCTGATTTGTGTTTCAGAAATGGACTGGTGGCATTAAAAAATTATAGAGAAGTGGAGGGTGGGGCTGGCTGGTTAGCTCAGTTGGTTAGAGCATAGTGCCGATGACACCAAGGTCCAAGGTACTGGCTCGCTGCCAAAAGAAAGAAAGAAAGAAGGAGATTGTAGGGAAAAGAAGCAGGGAAATCTGTTGGAATTTTATTTTTATTTTTAATTTTTATTTTTTTTTATCAGTTCAGGGAAGTGATAATGAAGGCTTGGCCCAAGATGGTGGGATTAAA